ATAAATTCTTGGTGAATTTGTCACGATGGACTAACTGACCCGACTTCATCCTCATCTTATCATCCTTCACTGGTGCCCCACCAGCGTAAACCGTTAGCGCAGGCGGATGCACCATTCCATTATCATCCATAAAAAAAATTGTCGCCTATAAAGGGGAAGAAGATTGTTAGTAACGTGGACTGTTGATCCCTTTGCTAGCTATACCATGTCACGTATACGCCGGCAGTGCACCAGTGGAGGATAACAGGATGATGAGCATGAGGTCAGGTCACTTGGCGCATCGTGGCAGGTTAATCAGGAAGTTACCATGTTGGTTTCCAGGGGGAACCGCGTGGAAGTCTACCTAAGGTGGTACATTGCTGATAATATCCTAATCCCTTGACCTGGTTATAAACGTAGTAAATATTTAAATTGATTATTTTCGTAACATTGGTCGAGTCTGATGTGAATATCAATTGTTATACAAGTAGGTAAGTGCATAATATATAGAATACATAATGTATATTATATGCAAGTAGCACGAACAGACAGACAAAAGTTCAATGTACGTGCATCGATTGGTGTCTGGCGCTCGGCCAAACACTTCACTTTAATGGTTTGAGTTATCCGATTTCCTTAAATAGATAACTGGCTTCAGATATTAATGTTAGGTAATGTATAATAGGTAAATATATACTTTATCAAGTTTATATAGGCATGTATTTAATAACCGTAATAATATCTTATTCCTTACTGTCGAGGAAAGGAATCGTCCTCTTTCGTGACTGATATTATTTTTGTAGAATCTTCAATTTGACTAAAGAAGTTTCAATATTTCCAGACCCATTTGACCCTAAATTAAATCAATAGCATAAGCAGGGGGGAAGGAATTATTAGTAACGGGGACTAGTGAACCCATTGCAAACAATGTAGCATCTCAGGCCAACTTCTATGTGGTAGCCATTGACAACCATTGTTGTAAAAATATCTAGAGAATTTGTCAGGATGGGGTTAATGACCATACTCATCTTATCAACATTTACTAGTGATGATGCAGGCAGGTGTCATTCATATTAAAAAATAGGTCAGTAATAAATCCTGATCATTATCACAACATATGATATATATGGCTTGCAGTTTTTACTAAATTAAGCATCAACACATGGACATAAATACAAGTACCACAGGCTAGAGAATGCCATTCTAAAATAAATATCATAGCAATAAATTTACTACAAATTTCATTGGGACTTTTTTACTGTCAACCTATACATATATTCTATATTATTTGTAGCATTGACTGGAAGAATGTAACTGGATAATTATGAAATTAAATAGAACAAAGCTAACTAGTGAACAATAGTAATACAGGCCTAACCATATGGATATGTTTACAGATCTTATGCAAATCAGAATTTATATGTATAGCACACATAATATATGCATACACTAAATATTTTTTTAATGGATAATGATAGTGTACTCTTATTTGCCAATAATATCCAGTGGGGCGACAGTCAAGAATGATATGAGGATATGAGGTCAGGTCAGTGAGCCCATCCTGACAAATTCATCAGGAGTTGATCATGGTTTTGAGGTAAAACGATGTGGAAGTCTAGTAATTATATATTGTTTTAGTTGTTATAGGCTTCCAGGTGAAAGGGTAAAACAATGATTGAACTCACAAGAGTCTTCATAATATAGTCTATGTGAGTTTACCACTCCTGGGCAGTATTATGTATAGCACAGTATGTACCTAGTGGGATATCTATACTTTTAATACAATATAAATATAAGACAAGTTAAACTAATTAATAGGCTCAATAATAAAATTTGAAAATTAACAAATTAACACTTCTTAAAATTTTATATTTATACTAAGACTACTGTATCTAATTGTATATTATCATAAAATAAAGTTAACTGTAGTATCTGTATATCTATTTGCAATAATCTAAAAACATACTTGATGGATTTTCATGCAGTTTTCGCCCATCAACAGAGTGCTTTCCGAGGAAAGTTAGTTATATATGTATAAAATTTTTGTGCAAACTAGTAAATACCCATGTGAAACCAGGGTGGGCTGTTAGTATAAAGACATAGTATTAGTCTTTTTGGTAGGAACAGTATGTATGTACATCACCCAATACTTGTATTTGATGATGTAAATACAAATTCAGCTTTCTGTGCTTTTGAAAATACAACCTCCGCCTATACCTGTATTGTAATATTTATTATCTTGTAAATTTTTGTAACCTATGGTTAAAAACTATCCGAGGTAAATATGAAATTTGACCACATAGAATCCTTAAGTTTTCAACCAATTCCGGAGATTTTTTTCAAAGATAAACCTTTGGGAATCAATTGAAAATAATATAATAATAACATATTAAGTTTGTGCTTTTCATAGCTTCAATTTCATTTATAATAATATATTATAAAAGGAATAATTTTACTAATCAGTACTGTAATATCATATTTACTCAAAAATTATATATAATTGTATTAACTGCTGAGTTGTTATAAGAAGATATTAATTATTCTCATGTTATGATAATTATTGACACATAAATGAGACAGAAATATATTTCTATCACATTATGTGTCTCTTGTCAGACTTAGCAACAACAATGTAATGGCACAGTAATATATGGATTACAGTTCACTAAATAACAACATGAGGAAAATCATTTGAGGAAACCTAATGTACCTATTAATGGTTTAGTTAGAGCATTTATACACACACATATAAATATTGTTGATTGAAGTCATTATTCCAATACACAAATACCATAACTACACAAATTTCAAAAATTACAAAGCAGACTATGGAATTAACTCAAAATTAAAATACTACCACAATTTCAAACAATCATCTATTATCAATATTTGATAAAAATTGGCACATCCAATAATTAATTACTCTACTTACCTATTAGTAAGCTAATTATATTAAATTAATACAGTAATAGAATACAGTCTGTCCTTGTCACAGATTTTTTAAATTATCTCACCTACCACAGGCTTCTACTTGCATCTGCATCTTAATAATGGGTGGCCGCGTTAAATACAACAGATCTAATCGTTACATAAGTCATAAAATTTGTGATAAGCATGTAAACATTCAACTTCAGGAGGATAACAAAACAATACGCGATTGTTGATAAAAAGATCGAAACGATGGACATGAGTATTCCAAGTTAATATGAATGAAAGGACAAAACTGTAGACTATTTTCTGATACTAGGACATCATTTTGCTTTGTAATTCACATAGTTGTGCTGAAATACATGAAATACCTACCTTGTTGTCCATTGGCCACTCCTTTTAGTTATATGAGCTATTATTTTCTCAACTGTACGCTCATCGCCTTTGCGAGCCGCATCTAAAAACTCCTGACTCTTCCCCATGGTCCATTAATGGACAATACACAGAAAAACAACACTGAATACGAACATTTTATTTTTTACACAAGAATTCACTTCACAACTACATTCTACAACTTCATTGATCGTGTCGCCATGTTTGTAGATTTTGACAGGAACGTGAATGCGCTCTAGCGGCCGATGTCAGAATCGATCGACTTCTTTGCTCGTTATCGTAAGTGAAACAGTATGAAATGATCTATAAATATACACTTTTCTAGATAATGAAATAATCTAGTAACTGTGTCTAATAACCAATTTAACTATAAAGACTACTGCTTCATAATAGCAACATTTTTTTTATTTCCGTTGCAAAATTCCGTTGAACTAAGCATGACGCATAAAATTGAATATATTTTATATATGTTGACTTTAGTCAAATCTGAGCTTCAACTTATTAAATTTATTGCATTACTTTATTATTTAAAAAATACCACTTGACAGTTACAGTTACGAACTGTACAATGTGTTGAACTGTAATATGTGTATTTTAATACATCTGTAACTTTACTAGCTTTCATATCAATCGTATATAAACGAAAAAATAAAAAATAAAAAATTTCATTGTTTTTAAAATAAAAATAAAGGAAACAACGTTATATAAGTATTAAATATCGCAACGGCTAACGATCTAATGTGAAATAAAACAAACTTCAGTTGAGATAACTATTTTTTTGGATTATGTAGGTATGATAAAATACGAGTGTGATGGATCATCCATTAGGGGAATTTCTGAGACAAATTAAATTATATACCTATGTAGTTTGCAACATCATCTCTCAAATTATTCAAATGTGATTTGATATCAAGTGTTCCTGTCTGTAGTAAACAAACAATTCTGTTTTATGTAGTCTACATAAAATAGAATAGTTTGTTTATTTGAACGATCTCTTGTTGAGTTTCTTGCCAGTTCTTCTCAACCAAAGTAGCAAGCCTAACAGGACAGCAGCAGGAAAAGTGATAAAACATGACATGCACTAGACTCCAAAGGTTCGATGTTAATAAATAATATACAGTTTGAGTTAAATATCTAAAACTACCTACCCATCAGATTTAAAAAAATAAGAATCAATGGTAAGCTTTAAACTTGATCGGTAGTTACATAACATAATCCGTCAGGAGAGAAGGTATCATAAGTAAACTATCATTGGTCAATTCTAGGGTATTGTAATAGGTATAGTATATTACTAATTTTTATTATAAATAAGTTAAATGTGAATATTATCATCTCTCTTTATATTTAAGAAAAAAACAAGTACGGCTTCAGACGTTTATTACTTTATTACATTATTCATAATTAACTTAAAGTTTGATGTCAACTTGATATTATCATATTATGTTATCGAGTGTTATTATATATTATGTTATGTTACCATATTTTGTTCAAAATCCTTTGTCATGATATTTTCTTTTATTGTTAATTGATAAAATATAGTCTTTTTCCATAAAAGAAAATTTTAAATAGTTTTTGTTGTTCATACAAACCAAGTGTAAATTCCAATATAGTGAGGAATGTTTTTTAAGAAAGGGAACCCAAATATAACATATTTGGGTTGGCGTCAGTTTGTCAGTCAACGAGTCAAGTTAACAGTTGTCAGTTATTATCTAGTATCTCCAGACGTCAAACGTCAAACTTGTGTGTTTTATGTTTTATGATCTAAAATACTTATTATTTAATTCTGTCTTTTATCTGTATTTATTGATTCTCTACTGTAAATATATGAAGACTCAAATATAACGAAGGAGTTATTCTCCAAAATGCTCTTTAATAAATTGAGTATTTTCCTGGTATTTGTGTTTAGTGCATGGAGTATACAATGTATGTACTTTTTACCGCTTCTTTTTGTATGTGTATTTGATATTGTTTGTACTGTTTATAGTCTTTTTTTAATTTGGAAATTGGTTATATTATATTTATATAACAATATTAAAACATTCACGAACTTAGCAGTGTTCTATAAAGTGCATAATTAGAATCTTCTGTATATGTTATAATGTAACAACCTTGTTGTGTAGTATTTTTTTTCTGTTGAGTATTAAATCATTGACAATACATACCTGTATATTGTAACTACCTAAATAGATAAAAAACAATCGACACATTATAAAAAAATTACTCAGCACAAAATATACGAAAATTTGTGTGATTTTGTTACTAATTAAATTTTTCTTTCTAGGTTCAAATATAACAATACCCCTTAATAAAACAATAACAAAGGGAAATAAACAGTTGTATGGAGATTTTTTAAATATTAATAAATCATCTATGATACAAGTAAAATTTGGGAATGTAAATCCAAATGTATCTTTCATAGTGTTTCAAGTACATAGCCATGATTATAACATTTCTGTCTGTAACAACAGTTGTGTGACTGATTCAACTGAATTTAGCACAAATGTTGGATTTTATAGTTCTGTCAAACCTAGTATTGATACATATTACATAAAAAACGATAATTCTGTTAACATTAAGTTATACATAGCTGTGCATGGATATTTGGAACGAGGTAAGTAATTTCTTTAATATATTATAATATTTTTTTATTCACAATGGTAATTAATAAGGATATGGGCCATCTGATAGTAAATGAAATATGTGATTTGGTTGCTCTAACAGTATATGTAGATATGTAAATAAGCATACACAAATAATTATATATGCATATAAAAATCCCAGAATAATTGATTTAAGTTGGACAATTTGAGGCTTATATCTATGGTACAGTCAACATTTCTGTAATGGTTATATTGGAATCTATTTTATATACCTTTTTTATTGTCTATATTTTTTATAATATTATATTTTTTTTATATGACATAAGTCAGTTTTAATACAAAAATATTCTACAACTACAACGGTGCCGTTTTACTTTTTGCTCGTCATCTTGGTCTCCATTCTTCACAGGTTACTTGAGCAAATAATACACCACCTTCCTCATTATTAATTCTCTGTGCACAGTAATGTGGACTCTATTTTCCGCAATCTGTGTGTCTTTGTCTCTGTGCACAAAAGTCCATGCATATTCAGGATGCACATTTAGTGGTCGAGCAGTTTAGCATACAGGTTCGATATCTCAGACAATACTTATATTTGCATTCATATATATATGATTATTTAAAAAAAATGGTACTGCCAAAAATCATTATCATTATTATCATTAGCCCACTGCAGTCCACTGCTGGACATAGGCCTCCCCCAAGGCATGCCACTGGGCATGATTTTCAGCCCTTTTCATCCAGTTACTACCTGCAACCCTACATATGTCTTCACTCCACCAAGCTGCATCCTACACTATGTTTGCCAATTTGCAGTCTGCACTCTAGAACATGTCTACTCCAGCGAGCATAGGTTCTGCGACAGATATGACCGGCCCACTGCCACTTCAACTTGCAAATATGAAGAGCTATGTCTAGAGCTATAAAAATATTGAAGTATTTTTACCATTTTATTTTTATCATTGATACTAGACCATATCAATGATACAAGCTCTGCTTAGCTTGTGTCTAAGCGGCATTGTGTGAATTGTCCAGCTTTATTATTACTATTACTCATATGCTACCTGTATTCTACTATATATAATATCTATTGCTGTTTGTTAACTGTGTAATGTGGTTATGTGGCTTTAATTTTTAATTTCTCACATACCCAAATTACTTATGTGTGAAAAATTAATTTGCTGCTCATATATGTATATTGGTGACTATTACAACTAAAGATGGCCAGTCCTAAAAGTATAATGAGTGAAGGATGATCTATTGAACCATTTGAGCAACTACAATTTTTTAGAACTAATAACAGTGGACCAAATTGTAAATGTTTTTATCATTCATTGGTTATAAATAAATGTTGTTTAAATTTACCTTTTTTTAAAATAGGCATGCACAGAATGTGACGCATATATAGCCGCAACATAAAGCCAAAGCCACTATGACTTGTCTTTATTGTATTTATAAAAAACTAGCTGTACTCGCTACTTCATCCACATGGAATTAAACTTTATTTTTCTAAAATTAAAGAAATTTTCTAAAATAAAAGTGGCCTAAGTTACTCCTTATTATATCAGCTACCTACCAATAAAAGTCCCGTCAAATTGGTCCTGCCATTTCAGAGATTAGCCAGATCAAACAGACAGACACAAAAATTGTAAAAAATGTTATTTTGGTGTATGTACCGTATTTATATTCATATACATGTAGTAAAAAACGGTTATTTCTATATTATAAACAGAGACTCCAATTTTATTTATATATATAGATAAAAGAGTTAATATTGTTTTACATAGTCGATAACATAGAAAAACTACCTACATATTAGAATTTATACTGTACATTTTAATATGTATATTTATTTCTATATATTATTATAATTATGATACTCATTCATATTTTTTTTGAACTATTGTACTGTTGTCACAGTCGGGCTTTACAGCTTCATTGAACGATAGAGAGCGAGTGCAGATGGCACTCGAAGTCCGCGGAATGACTTGGAGCGGCTGATGGCTAACATACTAATATGACGGTTACGACTTTAGTCTGAGGGCACCGCTTGAGGTTCAAACTTCGGCCCAAACTGCAGGAGGTCGTCGTCTTTGCCGGGGAGGACCGTGTCGTGTATTTGTGTTATAATGAGGTACGGACGGAATGGGTACCCGTAAGGAGGATTGCTCCCGCTACAGGGTCGTTGAATAAAAACGTGCATCGGGCGGCGTTATCGTCTAAGGATGTCTCCTTAGTGCATAGTAGACCATACTGACTATAAGCGGGATCGGGTGGACTGGGCGTAGTGGAAGGAAATTAATATTTGTCGCTCAATTCATATATCTATATACACCTACTGTACAAATGTACTGGTTCCCTAGCAGTGCAATGATGTCTAGTGTCTCTGGAGTTGACAATCTGACATATCTGACTTAGTGGTTAGGAGGCTGTTTGCGCCATATATAATGTGTCATGAAATTTAACATGCAATTCAATTTTATCTTTTTTTGAACTTCTCTGCTATCTGGTCATTCATGTTTTCTTTTGCTATCTATATTCAATATCTATTTGTACAACCACAGGATATATTTATAGCTGTATATACATAGATTATTATGTTTGTACATTATATTATAGCTTACGTAGTAAGTGCATTATACACAACTGTGTTGTGTATATATACACAACTGTTATCCCAGGTTGGGTAGTCAGAGGCATTGTCGACTTATATAGGAACTTAATACTATATTATATTAGTACAATTATCCTGAGGAGATACTGACTGATAAAAAAACATCGCTCCTAAGAATATCCTTTAATTCTTCTCTAGGGTCTAGGTGACGAACTCTGAAAAAGAGCGAGCAGTTATGTAGGTCGCGGTGCGGTCCAAGCACCTGACAATAGTTCAAACCCCTCAATAAAAGAAATATAAAAAATCGTACACTTTTTAACAGGAATTCTCTGACCAAAATCTTAAGGTATATTATTTTACAGATCCCATACCTGGTGGTTGCAACATGGAATTACCCGTCTCTGTATCTCCATACACACTTGCAAATTTTAACAAACACTACATCAACGTAATGGCATCTCCTGCCAAAAGTTATGACGATGAATATTGCATATCTGTTAATTCTGTGGTTGTGAAGTTTTATAGAATGTACTTACCAGAGCGAAACTTTGATGCCAATACATACTTTGAAGGCATTAAAAATATGATGACACTGGAGAAAATTCAAGAAAACGGCCAAGAGGTTAGTTGTTGGACAAAAATAAAAGCATTAATAACAAAGTGTTCTGTTTTTTTTTTTAAACTATATAGTAGCATACAGATCTTTATGGTAGTTTTATGAGTGATACTGTGTTTTATACTATGTAAGGATAATCGATTATATATGCCTCTTTTTCTTTATTTTCAGTGCTCATAATATATAATTATCATTGTTTTTATGTGATATTGTATAATTTGTTATTTTAGATACCCATGACCATGTGGGGTATGCGGCGCATGATCAGCGCCTACCCTGGCACTGGCTCTGTCTACGTAGCGGTGGCCTACGACGCAGAGTCTGACTATTATTCTGTATACTCGCCGACTTATACATACGCGTGTAGTCCATTAAATGATGATTGTCAATTGTTAGGTAAAATATTTTATTATATTCAACTAACTACTAAATCAACTAGACTAACATCTACTTAACTAGCCAATGCTCCTCTAACAATAAGAATGTTAATATTATACTATATTAAGAATACAATATTATACTCATAAAAATATTAACAGGTATACTAAGTTCCGGAGACTTGGTCTCCTTTTTTTAAAATAAGGATCTCCTACTGTATATCTTCGGATACGTTCAGGCGCTTAGTCCTAAAAAAGTCGGAATCGGTGTCTAAAAACAACAAAAAGTAGCCAGCCGACATACATACATACATTCGCATTTATGATCTTAGTTCATAAAAGTCCACAGATAGGTAATCACATAACACTAATTTTAGTAATTTTTATTCCCGTGCTCCTGAACTCTCTATAATAAGTGGTCATATTATAATAATTAAAATTTCGTGTTTTAATCCTCCAAATACTATGTTACATCACAAAATTTAAAACCCGACCCAGGGTCGGTCTATATTTCATGATTTTTTTATATGAAGTTTCTGACTTCTCCAACCCCTTGTTATACAATGTCACCCTTTTGGGCCCATCGGGGACTAAAATACTGCATTATTTATAAAACTGTATTGTAATTTTTTATGGCCAGCTTCAGAATATAAATAAACAAAGCTATATATTTATAAGAAATAAAATTTTACCATTCATTTCCTAAGATACGGTAGTTACCCTTTTCGCGTTCGCACGTACTAAATTGTGCAAGTTATAAGATGTTGCGGTTTCGTTCCTGTTATTAAGAAATTTCATACCACTTAATTAGTTGTATGGAAGTTTTATCACTAACATAATGGAAATAAAACATGTTTCATCGACGTAGACTGATAACGTCTGTATGGGGGTATTACTGAAAGGGGCGATAAGGCAGTGAAAATTCAGGGTACATGTTAGTCCTCTGGAAGAAACACGAGAGTAGAGCCCTACCGAGGGCATCACATGAACGTATCCGCGGCGCTGTACATATAGATATAGGTGACATTTATCATTTACCATTAGGTAGGCCGCTTAATAAAGGCGCCATCAGCTTGTTTGATATTCTAGATACATAAAATATGCTCAGTGGAAATGAGAATCTGTTGAAACCTAAAGGTACTAGACACTGATATACATAGATATTCTTTTTAATACATGCATAATATACATAGAAATCACCCAGACCAATACAATCATACTCATGAATACATGTTTGTACCGTGCGAGGAATCGAACTCGCGACCATCGGAAATAAGGCAACGTATGGCCGTTATTGTTATATATGATGTTTATGTAACATAGGTTTGGTGTACCCTAAATAAAACTGTGTTGGTTATTTAGGTCAAAGTTTGCCACTTAGAGGAATATTTATAGATAATAGTGTTGGTCCAACGATCACAGTGTTCGGCTATAGGCAAGTTTAAACACGCACGTATTGAAATGGAAACATGTATTGCATAAAAAGATCCGGACCGACGAAAGTAATATTAAATTAGACCCCGTTTAATAGAAGAAATATTAAACGGGGATGAAGAAATATTATTTATTTATTTATTAGATTTTGAGATTAAATTTTTTTACAATGTATATATTTCTGTAGTATGTCATCGCTCAATCCGGAACATAGGCTAAAAACCAAGGATGACAGCAGGACAAAATAAGTGAAATAATAATAGCAACGGATTTGTATAAAATATCTATCTAAATCAGATCAAGATTTTCGAATCTGCAGTGTTGGTACCTAAAATTTTTATACAACAAAACAAACTTTTAATTTATATTGAATTTTAATGAATTCCATTTTGTCTGTAAGCAATTGTTTTTAGCAATAAGGCCTTTAGTTTATGTTCCAGTCCACAAATTACAAATTGAATGGACACTGCATATGGCAAGCCTAAGACTGTGCACAACAACAATCTGCAGATTTTGTCAAACTGAAGACAATACATCACTACACATCCTATGTGGTTATAATCCACACAGGCATAAACGAAATATCGCCTTTGGAAAATTTACGCCCTATCCTGAAGAGATAAAAACCATCGTTCCTAAGAATATCCTTCAATTTTTGTCCCTAGGTAGTGAAATCTGAAATAGGGCGAGCACAATAGATCTATGTAGGTCGCAGTGCTACAGGTCCGAGCACCTGGTAATAACTCAAAAACACCAATAAAAAGGCCTTTAATAAAACTCATACCTACAACGTATTCGTTTGAGTGCGCAGTACAGTTATTTTTTTTTATCTATTTATTATAACTTTTTTATAATTTTTCAGATGCCTTAGTATCGCGTTTTGCCTGTGCTTTCTTGATTTTCTTGGGGGTTTTTGTCTGCTATTTTGGACATCGTTTCTTTAAAACCGAAATGTTTCTATTTGGGTTTATTAGCGGTGTCGTTATAACTTACATCTTGATATCTCTGATGGCGGAATTAGACTTCTCTGGTGAGTGTTTCCGTACAATATTTAAACAAACATACCGTCACAACTATAATCCTAGATGAGGTAGTTAGAGATATTTTTTAATGGATGATAATGGAATAGTGTATTCGCCTGTTAGCGGGGTACCAGTGGAGGAAGATAGTCTGAGCATGAGGTCAGGTTAGCGAGTCCATCATGATGAAATCATATATATTTAACCACGATGGTTTCAAGAAGGAACCGTGTGGATTACGACCTAGCATTGTGCATTGGAAGCAATGCGTCTTAGTCCCAATCACTAACAATCTCCTGCCCTCCAGTCAGAGACATTATCAACTGTCAATGCTGAGGTGGACACAATACAAAACATGGCCACATTTCGCGGTACATTTGGAATCTAACTTGGCATTTGGCAAGCTTACCGACATCTCTCTGATTAATTTTTGCAATTTGCAAATTTCTATAAGTGAGCAGTCTAAATATATTTTTTTAGTGTCGGCCAGAATTGAACCCATGATCTATTTGGGTTAATAAATCACTAAGCCCATGTAGTCCTCCGCCTTAGCTTAGAACAGGTGCAGTTATTGAAGTCATATTTAGTATTTTATAAATAATTAGAGCTATGTCTAGTTCTACTTCCCGACCCTGACTGACCTGTATTTCTCTATATGTAGTAAACAACTTTTGAAATCGGTTTTCATTATTTACCTATAATTTTTAACTGATTATAAGACCTGTTTTTTCATCTATAGAAAGATTCTATTAGACAGAACGATTTTGCCATAAGTACTATATTTTAATAACTTAAAACAACTTATTATGTTTTTTTTTAAAAAAATGGCAGCCGTTAAAACCGGTGTTGATAACCGAAATGTATTATTTCTTATAGAATTACTAGGTGCATCCCTATTGTCCGGTGTATTTTTTGCCGGAATATGGTATATCTTCTGGTGGTTCTATGGGATACCCGTAATAGCTGTCTTGTTGCCGGCACTCAATCTGGGATTTTTGGTGGCCTCTATCTTTTATTACAAATTGCCAGGTAAATACAACCTTTACATTTATATAAATAGAAATTAATCTCTTATTGAAAACTCAACCGTAAAAAAAGAGCATATCTGGTCCAACTTTTATACATTTATAAAAACATATTTTGAAATTTGAAAATGTTTCTTATGAAGACAAAAATTTAAAATAATTCTCCAGAAAAACGTAAAAGCCCACTTTTCCGGAATAAAAAAAATTGATATTTTAGTCGTATTATCCAGTAGTTCAGATTCTATAGATTCAATTGAGAAGAACAGCCAAGAAATATTAATCTTTCTCTTTCAATATGTAATAATTTTATAATAAAATATTGAGGATTTTAAATTTTAAACAAAAATGTCTTGCCATAAAATAATGTATCATTTATGGCACATTTTTTTTTAATAAATTACTCCCTGCGTTTGATACAAAATGCTTTTAAAAAACTAAAATAATGTTACTGACAAGAATTTTTTTTATTTTATGATTGTTGTCATATTTGTATTGTATAATTGCTATTAGTAATATATAATTTATCATTGCGCATAAGACATTATAATGATAATTTTAAATAATAACATTATAGATATTCTTTTTGAATTGTATTGACATATTTGTAATTTGCATGCCCATAAATTGCAACTAGACGGTTGACAATAATAGAATTACGTGGACATATTTTACACAAAACACGAGGTCTTCACACACACACCCTCTAATACACGTACACACATTATACACACATACACACACACACACACACACACACACACACACACACACACACACACACACACACACACACACACACACACACACACACACAGACAGACACGCATTCCTGCGATTACACTTATCTATTGAAATTGTAAAATTATCCTGATCAATTAAATCACAAGTACACCATCATATGGAAGAGAGCACAGACATCTGACACACAGGTATTTTATATATCTACCTCAGAAGTCAGGGACTTCATAAATGATTTGTACAAAATATGTGAAATTAATGAATGATTATTATTACTATTATATTATCATCTAACTGTATTATGCAAATAAGTTTAATTAATTTCATTAAGCTACATACATATGGACTATGAAGTTCGAATCTAAAATAGTATATTATTTTTAGGTGATACGAGACTCCTTATGAACAACTTTAACTTTTGGTCGTTGTTCATATGCATTACGATACTAGTGGCTCTAATTCTCGTCTGTATTGCATTCGTGTCCAATATACTGTGCTGCTCTGTGCTTGGCGCGTACGCGGTCGTGTTCGCTATGGACTTCTACTTTGGGTCCAATTTGAAATATATTCTCATTAACACACTACGAAGAGCTACAGTGCCGGAATTCAACTGGGTCGTTCTTGCAGCGCCTTTTGAGTGGAGAGGTGAGTTTATTTTTAACTAACATTAAATAGGTTGGCATTTATACTATTTTTTTTTTATTATTCTGAAATATTTATTTTTAAATTTCAGTTTAAGCCATACAAATTTGTTCTGTATCAATTTTATTATATATGAAGAAATGTTTTGTAGAACAAAATGTTAAAATATATTACAATCTGTATACTGTATTTTTTATATATTTTTTACGCAACGAACAGAAAGCTCTGAAAATATGTTAATTAAGTAGAGCTCGTTCCATGGGTAGAAAACTGATAAAAAAATAATACCAATACAAACAGTCATACTCATGAATACAGAAGTTCATATCCTATGAAATTCGAACCTGCTACTATCAAAAGTAGATTACTAAAACAATTGAAATACTAACATTTTTCAACTTCAAACTCCATCGAACTGTAAGGCTAAACAGATCATAAAAAATTAAATGTTCTTAATCCAGATGCCCTGGTCACCATAATCTGGGTGACACTGTCAATGACTGGGTTTCTATTCCAACACTACCACAATAGGGGAAGGCCACCGTTTCCCCCACCACCGCGAGGCATGATCCCCAGGATAGTACCAGTCACTTATGGAACCCTCAGTAACGAATATAGTCGGTAAGTTTAATTTTATTAAAATATTGTCCTAATAAAAAATAATAATAGAGACTCTACCACTACTAGTGTATCTACTCCTTAAGACTGATTTAATGGGAACATCTACTCCTTAACCGACTTGTCGTTAACATCATCATTGCCGTCGTCATCATCATCATCTTCATCTGTCATGGTATGAGCATGTAATTTATAGGACTGAAGAAAATATTTTAATGCGAAAGGTGATACAGTTTAAACTTTGTATAAGTATAAATCTTCTCTAAAAAAAAAGATAAGAAAGATAGAAGGTATTTTTTAGAAAAGAATTCCGATTAAATTTGGTCGATATGTATATTTGATCAGATAGGTTATATTCTAACTGATATAAATATGAAAGCATTGATTTTGCTAAACAAACACTATAATACAAAACTTTGTTCGTGTACTTGTTAAGCAGTGGTTAGGAACTTGTAACCATTGTAATTGGTCAACCAAATATATATATATATATATATAATGTAACCATAGTATGTTTGATTTTAATGTAATGATTTTATCCGAATTGACTCAGGGTACATATATATAAAAAATATTTTTGTATTGCCTTGAAATTGAAACTTGCTGAAACCCTTTTTTGTTTATTTCCCTTTTACAGGCCTGGAGAATCCACCCAGAATGACCGACCGTTACACTCGGAGAGAACACCATTATTTGTGAATACTATGTCACAATAATTTACATGCTTCAACTATATATAAATATACTATACTAAAAAAATATATTTTAATTAAAAATTATTCCCAGAACTATTAACAATTCTCATAAACGAATCATACTGTAGATGAATTCGTACAGAATGTACAATACCTAATAAGTTATTTTGTGACAAAATGTATTATACTTACTTAAAGACTATGACATCGACGTTAATAATTTAAAAAATACTGAAAAAGCAACCTTAATGTTTTGACTTTAAAGTTGATACTGTTTCTCAATAAATATATGTTCAATTTTACGAATTTCAAAGTTTACCTTTCGTATAATTTAATGAATTCGTGTATGAAAACCATATTAAGTTCTGTGCTTGTCGCCTTTAGAAAAGGAGAGGCTACTACTACTCTCTACTTATGTCTAATTTGACAAATAATGAAATTCAACTTAAAGTCGTTTGAAATGGGTTTAATGTCAATATATATTTTTTTAATTACCAATTTAACACAGTTCTACTTAGTAATATAGAGACTGATGTTGAATTTTAATTAACATAGTATATTCAGTTTTTTTTAATTAATTTCTGTAATTGAAATCTTATTATGTGTCAAATGAGTATTCCCATTTGGAAAATGTATATGTCTATATTTGGATATGATTGTTAATGTGTAGGAATGAAGTTACTGAGTTAGTTCTCTCTTACCTTCTCATTAATCTGCTAGAAGAATCTAGATCCAAAGCCCTCTCTGCTTACATAATCAAGCCATTATGGTTTTTACTAAGATTTATTTCTGTCGACGCTGAAATATGTTATTAATTATGTAATTATAATTAATATATACTTGCATAAACGTGTACCATATTTTTTTTAAATTAATGTACAAGTTGTAATTCTGTCAACTTGAAATGTCAAGTAATATGAAATTTAGTACATTTTAAAAACTTTATATTTGTAGTCGATGTTACTTTTCTATACAAGTATAATAATTAATATTACAATCTTCATCAAATATTGCGGGTTCGATTTACGCACAATACAAATATATGTATTGATAAATATTGTTTTGTATTAGTATGTGTTTTTATTGTTATTATGTATTTAAATATTCATATCACTTCTCCAGTATCTACAGTCAGCTTTGTATAGTTTGAAATTATATGGCGTTGTGTGATGGATCTTTGGGTTAAAAAAGCTTATATTAATGTATTCTAAAATATATGACAATATATGCACGGATTATCATAAATATAATTTTAGAACTGATCAAATTTTAACACTGAACAGATTTAAGGCTATGTGTTAATTAATTTAGGTGCTCTTTGATAGTCATGTTATGTTATTAAAATTTTACATCTTTGTGATAAGCACAATTTAACTTAATGTTATATTTTTTATGAATCTGCCTAGGAAAAGAGGCAGTTTTTGTGTCTTAGTGAATACATATATATGTTTTGTTATATATATTAGTACCTAGGTTTTATGGTGCGTAAATGGTATATAATCACATTATATATACACAAAGTGTACTCATTGTACTATGCACCGCTTAATAATTTCTCAGTTTGCCTTATGATTAACTGGTAGAGAACCTTCGGTGTTAAGTTCGCCATATGTACATTTATATAATGTTTAAATAAATAAATAACGCACTTTAAGATCTAAGCACCATGACAGAGAGTACAGCTCTTAAAGTGCGTTTGCATTAAAAGTTATTTTGTACTATTATATATAAAATTTAAAACTTCGTATAAGAGATATGAAAAAATTACAGGATACATCTGTAATTTTGTAAAAAATACCAAAACACTATTGACTAAGTTATTATGCAGATGCATAACAACTTAGTCAATAGTGACCTTGGACGTGATATGACGAAGTGATGTCCATAGTACCTAGTTGAAATAGGTACATGAGCAATGTACCTATTTCAATGGTTACCATCTACTTCAAGGTGGACCGTTAGCTTGTATGCATTAAAAAACATAGAAGTTTACTTTCATTATAATTTCCTTAGAATATATAGGTTAACTATTATTACTTCAAGTTCATACATTTATACTCTGTAGAATTAGTTATAAGATATTTTGTCTGTATGTCAAATATTCTAAGACTGCACACAAATGTGATGTTTTAATAACTTTTGTATTTGCTTAGCTTAATAAAAGTTTACTGCTTTATTAACTATGTTTTTTTTAATAACTCATAATATTGAATTATATATTTTTATACTTGGTATACATATGTATTAAATTATCTTGATGATTATTTGTATGTATTATGTTGATCATACATACAAATTTTATAATATTAGATATTATAAAATTTGTAAATGTGAAAATTAAGTCACTAGCTTTATTGAATATTAGTTGAACCCGCAACTTAATATGGTTATTTTTTTTAAAATAATAAATAGCCTGAGTCCATCTTTATGATAATCTCTTTCTTCATGATAAATTTCTTTAAGATCTGTTTAGTTATGAAAAAGTAACCAACAACAAAACGAACCAACCAAATAGACACACATTTATAATATTTGTATAGATTTTCTATGATTTCCCGTGTATGTACACAAGCTCAATTATTATTTAAATAATGATATTTGTAAAATGAGTTACGAGACTTAACTACAATTAGAACAATAATTTTTCTATTATTTATGTTCTAACAATAATTCTGAATTTATCTTGTACTTTAATTTAAAATTGCACAAGCGATATGCATGCAGTCAAACACAGATGCGCTTATGTCATCAATGACAAGGGGACAGAAGGACAGACAAAATCTAAACCAATTATAACCGTTGATAATCTGTACAATTGTTGTTTACCTCGAGAGACGGCCGAGGGTACCACTGAATAACTTCACTTGCGTGTTTTTGATAGAATTCCATTATACAGGCTTATTGCATATACAGCGTGTACCTGAATTCGCGTTTGGACATGAGAAAATTGTAATCTCGGCTATTAAAAAAAAAATGCTGCGTCTAGTTTTAAAGCTGGAATTACTGTATGATTAATACTAATACACAAACGTCATATTATTGTTTGAACATTAATAACAAAATAATTTCGATATACATCACCTGGTGTACATAACAGAAGTCGCATAATAAATAAAATATATAGAAATAATATTAATTTAATAACTTACCATTATTGAATCCTCTTGAAATGAATGCCAGCTTATTTTTAACATAGTAAAAAGAGTTATAACAAATTTAAACAGCCTGTATACACACCCCATCGCTAGTTGGATCACTATAATGCCTACAATGCAACACGGTTAATCCCATCCCATTGTTGTGAGTCCTCCCCTGAAACAGAGGGGTAACTTGCGTTTGTGTGTGTATATATAAAACAGTAAATCCAACACAAAATTAATATGTACCGCCCAAATACAGTTAACAGCATAATTTCCTGGACAACACGTTTTTCGGGGCGCAACACTGTACGGCAATAAGGTTGAATTTCGTGATACACCCGCGACATCTGCTGGATGGAACCCAATAGGTTATTAATAATATTTTCTACATTGTTGTAATATTAGACACAGTCGAGTGTACGCATTCGTCATTTTAAATGATCATGACTTGGGGTTTGTCTTGTTTATGGGCACTTCACAAATAATACCCAAGCGTCGATTATGACTAGTCATTTGAAATGATAATAGTTCGTTACTGGGATCGTACGATTCAGTTCGCTTGTGAACTTGTTCGTTCTGATCTCAGTCAGAGAAAGGCTAGTCAACTCTAGGCGTATAAGTAATTTTTCACAAAAATATTTCTGTTTTTTTTTAATTATAATCAAAACGAACTAAGGAAATAAAGAGCGAAAGATGTAAGGAACTAGTTCACGTAGTTCATCTTTCACGAACTACATAAACTACAATGGTAATAAAACGTAAGTCAATGGTTAATGCAATATTTATTAATAAATTTCACTGTAGGTAATTTGTTCATCTATATGCACTTATAAACTAGTAATAATTTATTTTACAATACACTAATTACACCTTAATTTATCTATCACCTACGCCTCGTCATATTGCATTCATTTAAGTTTAATGAAAATATATTATACTTTACATTCAATGAATCAAAATGCAAAGGATTAATTGTGCGTTATGGCACCAGAACATTTTGATACAAAATTAATACAGTAGCCCTTAACTCCGCGTAGCATTCATTGTAACGGGTACCTTAAACACCATTTTACCTATTAATGTGCTTCGTATTGTTGTAAAATTATTGTAACCTCTTATACAAACTACATTTTAATCACAGCAAAATTGATCTTACAAATATAACTAATAAATATAATAAATTAATTCGTTTTAACGTCCATTGTGTGTTTAATAGTGGCAAATCAACACGTCACTCACAACATCGATTATTGTAGTTTTATTATACAATTATACAAACATGATTAGTTCATTCGACAATTTGTTTTAGAGGGGTTGGATGTCAAACAAATCGCTGTAACGAAGCCTGTTGCCGTTCTTTCCACTGTACCATTAATATTTTGCACCCTAACGCACACATCAAAGAAATAAAGGGTTGTGCTCGTAAGGGCCCATAACACTCAATTATTACAAATGTTGGCACAAACAATTTATAATATTTTATTTTCCCGCCGACTATCCCTCTGCTTAAGTCTCGCGGTATGAAACTTCTTCTACTCAACAATAGATGGCGCTAATCAATATTTACATTACCCGCGCCGTCATTTCTTTCTAGCTTACTATTTTTTTGAACACAAGCAATGAAATGTATCTTTTAGATTTTTAATCAATTAAAAGATTAAGTAACATAATTTAATTTTAAGTACAAAAATCAATTGCAGCATTAATTAATTATGACACAGTTCATTGCTTATGATCGCTTGCTTACTACTAGGTTTGAACATCATCAGTTGCATATCTTAATAATATCGTATCCATGATTTACAATGCAAGTAACGTTTTCACATTAAATAATAATATGCACCATTTAGCCACTGAAAAAATAAAACTCACTGGTAACCAAAAACCTATTTGATATCTTGATTGTTTTATGATACAGAATTGTTTTGTTCTTGTTGCAAATCTCCCGCCAAAACGTTGGCGTCATGTCCAGCAGTCATGTTTAGAGCGTTCATAGACAAGTCCGCGTAGTTGTGCGCGATTTCACCGGCAGATGGGGATTCGGGCACGCCCGTCGGGTTCTCAGGCATCGTGAGTAGACGATGCGGGAACCCGAATAGCTGAGATCACTGAAGCCGGCCCCAATAGTTAGACGCGAGGTCTGGCCCTTGCGAAGGTATTTGCACTGGTACGCTCACACCCGCCGATATTACACCTACGGCACAAAGAAACAAAAGTAAATACACTGTTAGCAAATACCAGATCTTTTATACTTGTATATCTGTACATGTATATAATTGTTCCAATATAGAGAGAGTTGTAGCTTAATAATTTACCACTCCGGAATATACAAGAGTCAAGGCAAAGTCGTGTGATCGAATCTGGTCGATACTAAAAAACTTAATAACGATAAATTTTCTACTAACTCTCTACTGATGTAAAACTCTGATAACAATGTAAATTAATATTAAATAACTTGCGAAATAACAGATTCCACAACATCGTCATATCTCTGAGAAGCCTGTCTGGCATAAAAATGGTGAAGGTATATTATATGTATTAATTATATTTGGAAAAAATAAGGGTAAGTTATATGTGTATTTTTGATGTAATAAAATTTGTCCATGTGGACAATTCATAGTATCATGCAATAATACATAATTGTTTATCGACGACGACTTATCAACATAAACGCAACATTTTTTAATACTCGGCTCCGATTGGTCATAGCGTGATTTATAATAGCCTTCTTTAATTCGTCTATCCAACAATAATTGTTTTTTTTTCTATTTAACCAGCCTACCCGTGTTCAATGAAGTTAAAGTACCTACTAATATAAATTGTAAAAATCATTTAATCTCAACACGTTCAAGCTAACAATCAAATTCATCAGTATTACAATGTGTGATATGTGCAATGTAGGAGAGCGGCATGCTCGCAGTATCTAATACGAAACCTATTAACATCATGTATCAGTATCGGCGTCTGTCTAATAGGATTCCGATTGCATTCCGTTTATTACACACAATCGCGTTATCTGGCGTGGTGTTCACCGGCTCTGATTATGTCCCGCTGCGCCCGTCATAAAGCTATCAACGGCTCTGTGACGTGACGAGACGTGTATATACATGTACACAATTGGAGGAATTAGGGAGGCTGCGTTTTCAACGTTATAATTATAAAACATAGAGTTATGTTAATCAAATTTATAAATACATTTTCGATATTAAATATGTCGCGTTATGCTGGACATCGCGGTTTTTTTCTATTGCATGTAAATAGACCGATTATTGTGGAATGCTACAGATCACTAAATATCAGTGCATAACACTTATCAAAAAAGGTAGAATGAAGGAAAAAGAAGCAATAGCGCAAATGGGTCATGCAATGCGATGTGTAAGGTCGGAGGACGTAACTCTACAAAATGAATGCCTATTTTAAATGGAACGGTGTGATAGGATGAGCATGAAGTCAGGTCAATTCACCCATCGTGGCGAATTTACCAGAAATTAACCGCGATGGTTTCCAGGGGGACCGCGTGAAGATGGACCTGAAATTGATATATATATGTCCTACATGAATAAACGATTCTTGAATTTGAGTTCGAATTAGAATATATTGCTAGCAATGGGGCTACTATCCTCATTACCTACTAACAATCCTCTAACCGGCTTATGAATAAAACTATCATGTTAAAAATGAATGAAAAGAAAATCTAAGCTGTTGTCACTTCTTGTTGAAGAGTTGTATGTTGCATTTGGGGCAAACAAACTTGCCCCTTTATAATGATTATTTCCCCGATCGGTTAGCGCGCCCCCACAGCGTGCGGAGCCGAGATAACAGTTCCGTTCAGGGATGCCAACCGTAACAGACTCCTCATATGGGTAATAGGTTTTTAATCTTCGGTAGTTCCTACTAGCCTACGAGGACATAATTGACGGTTGACTTCCGATGAACTGGTCAGTAGGGATAAATATACAATAAACTAGACGGCTAAAATGTCCTACACGAATAAACGATTTTTGATTTGATTTGATTTGATGGTCGCAGATGAGTATGACAGTATTTATCGGCCTATGTGTTTTCTATGTGATATGTTTACAAAAAATAGTGTTTATATTTTTAATTAATTATTTATATTAGTTGTCTTTTACCCATAACACATGCTCTGCTTAGAGTGGAACGAGATAGCTCTGTGTGAATTGTTCAGGGTTTTTATTGTAATCGTTGTACAGATTTGTAGGAGATTTTGATGTATGGAAATGTATTAGTAAATGTAAATCTAGTATTTCATTGCAGGCACAATTTAATTATTAAATATTTTAAATTTATTATTATTTAAAAAAAAATACGACTTTGGAGAACCAAATAATTTCTTCATATGAGCAAGAAGTCAAAGATATATAATCCTTAATTCATATTGAACATTAGGAACATTAAATTATTGTAGTTTCTTTTACATCAGATCCCAACCGTTTAGTTCAATTAGCCAATTGCGATGAGACAAGAAATAAAACTAGTACAAGCTACAGATATTTTTTTTAATCCATGTTAAAGAACATGGATTAAAAAAATTAAGTGTAGCTTCCGCTTGCGTAAATGGTTTCCAGGAGATTAGACATATGATTTTGAGTTCTAGTACATATTACTAATATTCCGTTCCCATCAGTTGTACAGGTTTAAGGATGGCAACCCTGGTTCCGTTCCGGCAGCGCAGCGTCGCGCGAAGGGGGTACCGTTTACATTCATTACACGTTATTATCGGCTCTAACCGACGCGACGCTCCTGCGAGACTCGTTTATTCAATGGATTGTGTCTATGCCCTCACACTTGTTTATGACGCTTACTATGTTGTGTGTGCAAATTGTTGCTTTATCGTTCTTCCTTTTATGTTGAGCTGTCATATTTTAATATTTTTTGTAGTAATAAATAAAGTATAACTTTTCTTATCTTACCACTCTATCCACCTAAGCGTAATCTGGATGAAATTTAGGGAGCGCTCCTTTTGTATTATATAAGTCATGTATATTTATCTACTATTTTAATTATTTTATGTAGTATATATAATAAATAAAGTGTGTTATACGTTGCTGAACCAACAAAGAGGTACACGTTATTATATGTTTGTTTATAAAGTTTTGTTAACACTACGTGAAAAAATATAATGAAATATTAAAATAGAAGTAGATACTTTAAATTATTATTGTAGTAATAGTCTCTATAGTACTCGTAGTTCTATGTTTCTCTGACAAAATTATCCTATATAATCTAGTAAATATTACTCTAAACATCTCCCCCTTCAACATATGGTACATACTTAGATATATTTTAAGAATTTAATTTTAGAAAATATATTTCATTTCGTTGAGACACCTAAATATAATGTTTAATTAGTATTTTGGTACATGTCAGTTGTATTAAGCAACTACTTGTAACCTATTTAATAATAATCTAGTAACAGTAACAATCTCGCCTACTTCAGCCACCAAGCAGCTCGCTTTTTTCGGTTGAAAGGTGAAATAATGCAGTGAAATCCAGGATGTGTATAGGCGTAACATCCTGTCGCTTCGGAATCACATCAGTGACGTCACTGGCGTTACATGATAAAGAAATGTCCGTAGTTCTACTAATATATGTAGGCCACCACCTACTTGCTATTGGGTTGGACGACTATAATATATTTAATGTTTTGTTACATAGATGTTCACATTATTAAAAAAATATATTTAATTAATTAACCTTAATCAGTTATACCTACCTAATTGCAAAGAGATTTAAATGGAAAGTAGGTAGATATTCCATAGACTCCTAAAAAGAATGATGCTAAAAAGCGAAAAGTAGAACAAATCCGCATTATTTAATACCGCACGAAGCTGGAAATGCAGCCGTCGAAAGAGCGCAAAAGGGTAAATGAAACGCGAGCGTGCATTTTGAATTGTGAAAAACTCTTTTGTTCGCGGTCGGCGCTGAAAACTCGGCAGTGGAACAATGCCGCGAAACGCCCCTAACAACAATAATTCATACCGCTTTCCGCCACCTACGGCTAAAAATGTCCGCCACATGATATATAATATTAAATGGAAAAGTTACTGCTTTTTAAAACAATGGCAACACCAACGCCTCTTGGTTCGTTTTCTGTATGAATTTATTATATTTATGAGTCTTCTTTGTAAGTTCTATTTTTAAATATTTGGCGAAATTTATTGACCTAATTCGTAATAATATGGCGAAAATTAAATATCATCTCTACCATTTTTAAGTATTGGATAAAAAACCGAAATATAATCCGAAGTCTTGGGGGAAGACGGTTGTTAGTAATCTGGTTTAGTAACCCCATTGCTAGCAATGGACCATGTCAGGTTGACCGCCCCTGGAAACCATCGTGGTAAATTGCCATTTGCCAAGATGGGCTAACTGACCTGACCTCATACTCATTGTGTCATCCTTCATTGGTGCCTCGCCAGCATGTACCGTTAGCGCAGACGCGTGTACAATTCCACTATCATCCCTCAAAGAAAATCAACCCTCAACATCAAAAATTCTATGTCAATCAGTAACCTTATTCTAAGTAGTAAGTAGAGTACCTAATATTACATGTTACTGCTAGCATAGAAATATTCATATAGTAATAGTTCCTCTATACTATTATAGGTCAACTACACGTCTCTATAATACAGTCATCTTCGTAAAGATTATATCGTTATAATGTATGTGTTTAGTAAAAATTATAGTAGAAAATTATCATGATAATTTTTATCTACAAATTTATGTAAATTGAAATGTACCTATTTGTAATGTTAAAGTTACAAAATCATTGTCAATGGTTAACCAACATTTTAAATATATGTATTTAACATTAAAGTTGCTTTAAAAACACATTTTAAAATTTTATATACGGTATTCCAATATGATAAAGTAAATTAACATGTCTATTGAAACAGTATATTTTATGTATTAATAGGCCCATATTATTGACAAGTCCTTTCTATCTTTATAAAACTGATTCAAATGAAATCGCATTAAGATATACTTTTTTTATCTGTCTATTACAGACACTTATAAGTAAAATGTACAGTGAGTTCAGCATATAGTTACAGCTGAGACACTGAGAACTTAAAAGACACTCGAGTCTAACTTTAGCGACTATATACAACCGAAGTACATATAGGTACTAGATCGCATATCGTGACACTTATATACTTCTGTACAATGCATGATGTAAATAATCATTTAAAAGAGATAGAAAATTAAATAGGTCCCCTGCAATTTCACAACGTATTTGTTAATGAAAACGGTTCAATATTCAAAATCAATTTAAAAGCTATTTGCAAGGAACAGACAACGGCAAATCCAATCGGGCCGTGAGCGTCTATTTTTCTCTCTTTTCCTTATTTTTTTTTTTGTTTCATCGCCGTGTCGTGGTCTTGCGATACAGACGCCCCTTGCTCTTGTGTCAGCGTTTTTTTACATTTTGTTACAAAGTTGGTAAATATATTTCAAGGTTCCCCGTTTCTTTTCCATTGATAAATCAAATTTATTTCTTTCCCATTTTTCGAGAGCGCGCGCTTGTTTAATGATGAACAATGTTTATACTATTGTAGTTTCAGTATTATTTATCTAAGTGTAACTTGTATAATTGCATGAATTATTGGGGTTGTGTTTGTTTTTACTTGTAAAATGTAACTTAAATAACTAAGTTTATCAATTAATTCAGTAGGCATTAGGTATTTATTACGTTGTACTAGCATCGTGATTGCAATTACCCATTATCATCCCACAGCAGATCTTCTGAGAGATAGATAGATGGAAGGAAGTTTCAGTCCACTATTACTATACTGGCCACGCGGTTTGGTATATTATTTTTATTTCCAATTTTCATTGTCTTAAATCAGTGTAATTACAGTAAAAGTACATCGATGTACTTATTTATGCCTTTTCGTACTTATCTATACTAATATTTAAAAAACATACGCCTAATGAATAAACTTAAAGCAAATTGTCTGATCCTAAAAAAGTCTATAGATAACTACATTCTCCGTGAATAGCATACGTTATATTCTACAACTAAATATACTGTACAAGCTGTGGCCGCGGTTTCACCTGCATGAAATTCATAGCACTTGTGTTATTTTGATGTATAAGCTATATTTCAGTCGAGTATCAGCAAAATCCGTTCAGTAGTTTTTGCGTGAAAGAGTAATAAACATCAATCCATCCTTACTCACAAACGTGCATGTTCACGTTTATAATATTAGTAAGATGCAAAGCATCGAATCCACTCACCGGTGCCACCCGTGGCCTGAGGTTGTGAGTAGGCAGCGTGTTGTTGGTGCGCCGCCGGCGCTCGGGAATATCCCCCGCTGCCGAGCACGTCGCCAAACATATACGGGTAACCCCCGTCACGCTGCTGTAGGCACGACGACGTGAGTCCGCCCGACATCGAACTGTCGGAACCAAGCGCACTGTCAATACGTCGCACAGTGAATATAGAAAAATGAATTAGAACCACGCTCGTACTTTAAGAACAAAATGTAAATTCGTATTGATATTTCGTAGTATACAATAAATAATGATTTAAAAAATTATTTTTAATCGCAAACATACTGATAGTCCTGATAAGTGAGAACCGTCACCTATATAAATGAATAGCATCACGGTTATCACGTTATCACATCACGTTATCATATAACGCTCGAATTGACATTCCGGAGGACTATGACGTCTTGCTCCGCAATATGTAATTTCACTGCTAAGAAATCATTTAAAGCTGGCTGCTTGACACCCAGCTTTATATGATTTTATATGACTCGGTACTCGGTACTCGATTTTATATGACCAGCTTTATATGACTCGGTACGCTTTGGTATAAAATCTACCTCAGTATGGTGATAGAAATATGATTTTGCCATACCGCGAAAAACATGTAAAAATTTATATTACATTATAATTTTCGTTGGTTACAAATAAAAACCATGTCTATTTTTCCTTGATATATCGAGTTCATTAATATATGCTTATTCTTATTTTGAAAAAGTAAAATCTCAGTGTATATTTGGTACGGAAAATAATTTATAACTATTTGTTTGTAATTTTACAAAAAAAAAACGACCTGAGATAAATCAGGTGTCGTGATCATAGAAAAACTAACAAGTGTAAATTTATTCAACGATGCAAACTAAAGGAGAAACTTCTCGTTCGACTAAGTTAATTTGTTCGACGACAAAAGCTAAAGCGTAGTTCACTATTAAAAATCAATTCGAGTGGAAAGTCGAGCGACCTTCGGTTCACAACTTCGGAACGTCTCGGTGCAATGGCGGGAAACGTAAGAAGGCGCGACCTTTGCCGGTCGATTTCGCGCGCAATTTAATTAGTGTCGCTGCTCGATGATAGATGGCGCTACGTTATGTGTATGGCAGTAGCTATAGCAGTGTATTATTTTTTCTCCGGTATTTGTTATTTTTACAGGTTTTTATGAAAATAGAACCACTGTTACTCACATACAACTTAAACTAGGTATTTATTGTAGTTGCAATAAAAATACGAAAACAAAGTAATGTAAATTAATTATTACATATTAATATAACATTGCATTTAATTAAATAAATCTTATAAAATGAACCATTATATTCGCATGACAATTGATCTGAGACAAAGGTGATTAATATAGAAAATAAGTTTTTTTTTATATTTAAAAAAAAACTACGTACAACGACTACTTACCTATAGGAATCGCCCATGGTGGCAATAGGTTGCGGTATGGGACTGTACATGGAGTTGAACCCCCCATTTAGGGGAAGGCGGGGTGCGGGTGGTGCGGGGGGTGATGCCGCTGGGGCGTCCCTCCGCTGACTCCGAAGCTTCTCTTCACGGCGCCACTTCGCTCGCCGATTGGAAAACCAAACCTGATGAACAAAGATAATTATACTTAGGTGTGCGTAATATAACTAGCGACCCGTCCCGGCTTCGCACGGTTGCTTTACAAATCTTTGAATTTCTCGGCTTGTTCTGTACTATATATATAACACGCATGTATTATACATATAAACGTTTCTCTTAAATCTATCTATTGCTGAAAACGAAATTAAATTCCGTTGCGTAAATTAAAAGGTACAAGCGAACAGACAGCGGCGGCGACTTTATTTTATATTATGAAAAATATATATATTACTGGATTACTTTTGTTGTTCAGTGGAAATTAGAGTATTTTATGGTATATAATTATTATATTAAAACTAAATCTAATCATACTATAATACATTTCTGACCGTATTTATAGGTAGGTATAATAGTAGTAGTAGAGTAACAACTGTTAAAAATATTCTTCATAAAATATTATCACTTTAATACAACATTTTATCCGCACTATAACTAATGTTATACGGTATATTGCTATATAACTATAGATACGTAACCTATGCAAGTAGGTACGTAGTAAATATATGTACATTATAATTATAAAAAAAATATTTGAGTATTTGTTATAATATTAAAAAACTGATGTGTATCACCCATAACACAAATTATGTTTAGCATAGACCTATATAGCGCTGTGTAAAATGTCCAGGATTATTATAATAACTTAACCACATAAGTATGCATATTTTGAGCCTATTTTACTTAAATAGATGAAATCGTTAAATTGGCTTTTCATTTACAGATAAAAGCCGAAAGCCTATATAAGTTACGGAGAAGTTTCAATGGACAAAATATTGTGACATTGAATTGCGTGAAACGGAACATGTACCCGGAAGTAGCCTCACGTGCGCGTCACTTCCGCCGCTGACTGTCATGGCGATGGCAATATGGCGCTCGTGCCTTCCCGCCAACGAGAAAGGCCTTGTTCATATTGTGAACGCTTTTATAAGTATTATTTGTTATCAAATAATTACTAAATTATTGTTGCTGTGATCAGTAGTGATATTTCAAACATGTAGGTAAATACATAGTAATTTTAGTATTCTATTATTTAATAAGCTTTATGTACGATGGAAGTGGGTTCGATTCCTCGCACGGTGCAAACATTTGTATTCATGAGTATGATTGTTTGTATCGATCTGTGTCTATTCTATGCATATTATGTATGTATTTTGAAAAAAAAAATTAAGTATTTATATCAATCGTCTAGTAAGCTGTGCTTAGCTTGGGACTAGATGGCATTGTGTGAATTATCCGGGTTTATTATTATTGTTTAAAATTTCTAAATATATAAATGTTAATATATCATCAAAAAGTATCAGTTATTAAAAATAAGCCATTTATCCAATGACAAGTATTATAAAGTTACCAAGGAATCGAATTATTTACTTACTTAATCATTATTTCTTGCTATCGCTTATTTGTGTAAAAACATAGGTACATAGGTACTACCACTACTGTACCTACGTGACGTACTTAAAATAAAGACATAAACGAAAAACTTGGCAATTTGCCAACGAAAGTGAGGTTTAGATCCTAAACTGATTCGGAGAGTTCATAAAAAAATGCGTATATAGATAGATGCAGACATACTTGTTTAACAAAATTTTACACCATCAATATTTTACTTATGTAACCAGCTAGCTAAGCTACGTATTATATTTTTTAAACGTACGGGGAAAATTGGGACATGTAAGCTCTATAGAAAGAAATAATTATATCTATTCAGTGATTTTCAGTTACAATGTAAACAAAAACAAAGATAAAATGTATATATAATTAAACTTAATTTAACATGTAGATAATCAAAAATAAACTATTACGTACATAAAGGCACTGCAATGGCTTTATTCAGGTTTATTGTATGTTCTATGTATATACCTACTATGGGACACAGTTACCTAGATACATCAAAATAATAATTGCATTTAATAATGTCTAGTAAGACAAATTCAATATTGTGTACTAAGCACTGCTGTGTCTAAACTGTGTCACCCCACCTTACATTTTCCTATTGTTATTTAGTATATAAGATCATTATTTCTATGTACATATTGTCAGTCTACTATCATCTGTAATATACATCGTCTCGACCAACAACATCGTATCATTTACCCGCAACACCTACTATATGTAGTCAAACTAAAATCTACTAGGTTAAATTTGGCAGTGAAATTATACCATAAGAAGCATGACATCTTACTTCTCTGGAATGGCAACGCAGGAGTGGTATCACGGGTGGTACATCGATAAAGTTACGGCCGTAGTGCTGTTCATGTAAGTATATATATACGATACGACGGTTTGCCGCTTTCTATTAGGAGGGCTGTCAGTTTGTTTGCCATTTCGATTATATAAAAAAAAATATGTAGAAATAATACCCCCTATATGTAGGTGGATCCTACTTAGCTAAAATATAACAAACATTCATAAATATTATAGCAAAAATAACTTTTTCGAGCAGGCCGTGTTCAAAGAGGTCGCAATTCATACAAGAGGCAATATGTCATAATATTATTGCTTCGGCCTCCAACAGAATCGGTAGAATGTTGCCGACAATATTTTATTCGAACCCTCGCAAAACCCTTCGCGAAAATAGGCAGGGTTCATTGGGACGTGGCTATACTGGCTATATGTATGTACCTTTGTGTTATAATTTACTGAAGTGAAAATGAAAAAACATTTCTTCAATTTATTTTAGTTATCTAAGGTAATATAATAATAAGGACGAATTTTATTATTGTTTAAAAACAAACCTCTTCTCTCGATCTTAAAATTTGTTTAACTTATATTATATGCAATTAATACACAAATAGATTGTTATTTCATTATAATACATTAGATATATCTAGATAATTTTACTTAACCGAAGACGGGACGGTTGCTAGTCTAAACTAAAATAATGAATCTGTATCATACTAGGAAATTATGATTTCTAATTTACTTTAAATAATATGTACTATGGAAAGATATTAAAAAAACACGACAGTAAGTATATAATATAACGTGTAGCTAAAAATTATGTTATATACGTAAAAGTTACTAATTAAAAAAGTTCCTTATAAAAATATGTGGATTATATACATTTAATGAGTATCGAAATACGAATCCATTATAGATTCTGAAATATCATGAAACAAAACAAGTAAATCCTACGTACAGACGCGAAATAATCTCTGTGTACCCAGCTTAACGTTTCGGTAAAAATATGACGTTTTCCCTAGTTGTCTATAGATATTTTTCCTCGACAGCGATGACAGTCATTTCCCGCCTCAACGTTATGCCTTATAAATTGTGTGCCTTACAGGGGTGTCAGCTGTACGAGATTACTTGGTCTACATACAGTACATACATATTATCAGGCTCGTATAAGTTAGTTGTATGACATTTTGTCTTATTGAAATCGATCAAATTACAAATATAAGGTTAGGGAGCTAATTGGGATTAATTTAATATTTTTTATATGTTTTTGCGACGCTAAATGTTTTAAAATTGGCAACCCTGGTGTCTACCCTCATAGTTGAGACGAAATAAAGTTACCGAAGGGTTCCGTACCAAATGGGATTCACCATAATGCTGTTATTCTCAACAAGTACCCGCCTCCGTAATTGTTCCGCTGTACCTAATAGATATCATTGTTATAACTCGGGACGTCATACCAAAATGGATGCAGACAAATACAAAATACATATAATTAATAGATATATAAATATTGGGGTATACTTAAAAATGCGTAGAGTGGTTTCTATCTATATATATATATATATATAAACACCTCTTTGGGCACTTTGTTGATCACGCCACAAGCGAAACACTTGCTGATTCCACCTTTTGCACTGAATAACTTCACACCTATCGCGTATATCTCAGGCGGTATGGCAACGTCGCATTCTATTTTGCGATGCGGCCATATATATTCGTCGATAGTATGATATACTCGACACTTTTTTTACTAATAATTCGTGACTGAATGGCTCCGAACGGCTAAATTTTTGGTATACACAAAGACTTTTTGGCTCTGAATATATTCCAAAAATCAATTAATTATGTTGATCACTTTATATACTCGTCCTTACTGCGATACTTATTTTCATCCGAATATATATAGATACCGTAACGGTCTATCAATTATGAATTTATTAATTTACTAATGTAGATATTTTATATTCGCAATGCTCCATACATGCAAGCTCCAGCAACGGTGGAGGCAGGGTCCCCCCTGCACCGTACCGCACCTCGCGCACACAAACAAATTAGATATTTTTTGAATACACAAAGACTTTTTGGCTCTGTATATATATTTCAAAAATCAATTAATTGTGTTGATCACTTTATATACTGGTCCTTACTGCGATACTTATTTTAATCCGAATATATATAGATACCGTAACGGTCTATCAATTATGAATTTACTAATCTAGATATTTTATATTCGCAATGCTCCATACATGCAAGCTCCAGCAACGGTGGAGGCAGGGGGGAGCACCGTACACCGCACCCCGCGCACACTAACAAATTAGAATAAATTAAATTCATAAGATTATTTATATATTTCGACTGCCTCGGTGGTCACACCGCTTTACATCCGATGGTCACGGGTTCGATTTCTCGCACGGTGCAAACATTTGTACTCATCGGTCATCGATTGTTTTCATCGGTCTGGGTGTTTTATATGTATATTATATATGTATTTACAAAATAAAAATATCTATTTATATCAGTTCAGTATCAGTCTGTGTTAATTGTCCAGGGCTATTTATTATATTTTTATAAACGGTTATCTTTTTCCATCGCACCGCTCGCTATCGACAGTGAATTCATAGAAATGTCACTCTAAAAACAAAAATAGTTTTGTGTTTTGTATTTCAAATACTAAATGCAAAATAGGTATTTTCAAAATACTTTTTCAAAATAAAGTACCTTTTGAATTTTTGTCCAAACCTCAGATATTTTATTTATTTTAGGTATATCAATCATTACATAGTGT